TTATTTATTTGGGAGAGGGTATAGGGGATAGGGGTTCCTATCCTTAGGCAAGAGTATGCTTTGTGTGCTTAAACATGATTACTTTACATGTTTTCAGTTATCATTACGTGTATGTTTGCACTTTGTACATATGTAAGGGATAGTGCAAAATTGAAGAATAAAAAATCTTTACTGTGTTGAGTTTTTCTTATTCAACTCTTTTGAAGTTTCTCTTCTGAAGGTAGGTCCTTGTCGAGGGATGTTGTAGTGATTTTCCCATCCTGTGATAGTAATATAGTTTTGCGAATTGTATTCCATTTGAAGTATGGATTTTTTCATATGAAGCTTATGGATGAGAGTGCGGTACTTAGTATTGTTACTTTCTTGGAGATGTTTGAGGTTGATTTCTGAGTAAATGTCGAGACAGTAACTATTTCTTGGACTTTTTGTCTTTTCTTCTGCTACCTTAATCACTCTCTTTTATCGACAATAAAAAGGCTTTATACTATTTTCTTCCATGGATTTCACTATATTGCATTGTTAAGTCTCTTGCTTCCCAAATTTTGTTGTGCTTTTCTTATTGTGTATTTGTGTAGGAACTCTTGAAGCGTCAAGGGAGCAAAAGTCGTGGTGGTGTTTCAATCCTTTTCGTCATTATTGTTGGCTTGATTGGCTTACTTTTGGGCTATCTCATGAAGAAGTCGTAAGCACTTGGTTACAAATCTTGTGTCGTGCTGTTTCCTTCCGAGTCATTGAAGAATGATGGTGGAAGGAAAAACTGAGGGTGGCTCATTTTTAGTTAGCTTTGCGAAAGTTTCCAAACTTGTTTAGGTGGTGCTGTGGATCTTAGGTGCTGGAATTCTAGATTAGTGCGTGGTAAACTTACATTCTTTTGTAACTTAAGAGGATGATTTTCACTTTGTTTCATTTGTGTTTCAACTTTGAGAGATTTTGGTTAACTGTATCTCTGATGGTTGTTAATAATTTTATACATCTCAGTGTGATGTAAAACATGTCTTCATTTCTTCTATATTATTTTTCTTTGTTTCAGGTTTGTCGGTAATTATCTTAATGAATCCCGCTCTCTCATTTTTTGTTTATTTAATTTTTGTTTATTTATCATTTTTTGGGTATGTTTGGGGGTTTGCATCTAAACTAAAGGTCTTTGACTTAATCTGTAAAGTAAAACAGAGGGTTTAAATGGGAAAGGAATAACAAATGTGGGTTAGGTTGGTTGACCAAGATAGTATGTCCTTTCTATTGCACCTGAGTTCGAACGCCTTCCCGTACATTAGAGTTGTTTAGGATATTGCTCGTGAAAAAAAAAAAGGGAATGAATAATTTTGCGGACTTTGTTATCAAACAACTAAAATAGGTAGCCTCATGAAATCAAATGTAACCAGAAATTCTAACTAACAACTTTGTGATTTTATGGTATGCCTTTTGATATTTATAATGTTTTTTTTTCTTTTGTGTTTTCCTTTCTTTTCCGTCTCTCTTCTCCTCTCTTTTTTTCCTTTCTTTTCCTTCTTTCTTCTTTCTCCTCTCTCTCTCTTTTTTCTCGCTTTTCCTTTCCTCTTCTCTCCTTTTTTTTTTCTTTCTTTTCCTTCTCTTTAGTTTTCTCTCATCTCTCTTTTTTCTTTCTTTCTTTCCTTCAATCTTCTCTCTCTCTCTCTCTCTATTTTTTTCTTCTTTCTTTTCCTTATATTTTCTCTACTCTCTCTATTTTTTTTAATTTAAATTTTTTCAGTTGTGAGTTTTGTAACATGCATGTTATTATTTCCGAACCCGTTACACAACTCGATTTTTTCTTCTTTCTTTTCCTTATATTTTCTCTACTCTCTCTATTTTTTTTAATTTAAATTTTTTCAGTTGTGAGTTTTGTAACATGCATGTTATTATTTCCGAACCCGTTACACAACTCGAAACTGGCACGATAAAGGACGACCCGAACCCGACACGACACGTTCATTAAATGGGTTGGGTTCGGGTTGAGTATTCTTGACACGTTTATTATTCCGACACGACACGAACTCGACACTACACGACCCATTACCAGCCCTACTTGTAGGCTTGACAATGAGAATGATACATTTTTTAAGTACAAAATTTGGAAGAATTGTGTCTGTCTGGTCTGAATTTACCGTGGTCTGACGTGGCTTTAAATTGTATAATGAACAAAGTACAATGATTAACAAGAAATAACATTTTCTATTGTTGAGGCAGACAATGCCAGTCATGTTGGTTTTAGCGGTTTTGAATAGGGATGCGCTGGGGGGGAGGGGGGGACCTTAACAGGGGTAGATTTCGGGACAAACGGGTATCAGGTATGGGGATCCCCGAACTTGGGGAAGGAATGGTATTGGTGTCCCCATCCCCAAACCCGACCCGAAAATATATATGTTTATACTAATAAATAAATAAATAAATATATAATTATAATATTTATGTTTAACCATAAGTTAACCTCCATCTCCTAATTCTTCCTAATTTTCTATGGAACTTCATATTGATATGATTTTGAATAGTTGAGTTCAGCTTTATAGTTAATTTGGATGTGTTGAATGATAATTTAATATGAAACTTAATGTTAAAATGTATAATAAATATTTTTTTTATGCAAAAAAAAAAAATCAGGGATTCGGGGCGGGTGTGGGGGATAGTCCCCCGATGGGAACGGGGACGGGGATTCCCCGAAACCTATTAAACGGGGATGGGTTCGGAGACAGAGGTGGGAATGGAGAGCGGGGACAAGAATGGTATTGTCATACCCGACCCGTTGCCATCCCTAGTTTTGAACAGGAAAGTAGCCGAAGTTTGTAGATTTGTACTCCCATGTGAAAACATGTGACTGCATAAAAAAGTGCACCGATATGAAAACATGAAACAAAATAAAATAAAGAGGATATAATTATAAATTTGCGAGAAAGAGATCGAATGCGCCCTCCCCATTTTCTAACTAGCATTCGGTCTACTCATATATCTTTTTCAATATAAAAAGAGATTTTAAATTTGAATCCTCAAAAGATAAAAATAAAAGATATTTATTTTAAAAATTATTTTTGCATGACATATTATACAATAACTTATATAGAACCTAGAGAGAGAGAGAGAGAGAGAGAGAAAAAAACCCAAAACTAGCCACTTGTCATTTTCTAATTGATTCTTATTGTGTGAAAATTTTATAAGAACCAATTAGAAAATAAAATGTGGCTAATTTTGAATTTTTCGCTCCAAATAAATATAAGGACTTTTGTATATTAGGTCATGCTAAAATAATAGTAATACCCTTAAACACCTTAGACCCACATAAATAATATGAATTTTCCTCGGTACCTATTCTAAACTAAAAATATTTAAGTACTGTTTTAATATTAAGGACTAGCCCAAATTTTCTATTTTAGTAAACAGTTTCAATTTGTAACATATGCTTATACTATTTTTAAAAAAAATATTTCATTTTATTTTTATTACAAGCGGTATTGAAGAAATCCAGAGCATTGTCGAATGCAAAACATCCAAATTCTTGACATTTTTTTATTTCGGGTTTTGCATTCATAACTTGTAAATCTAAAAAAATTTGAAGTATCCGATCAAACTGTTTGTTTCTAGAACCTTCACCAGTATCCCTGTATGCTCTGGAACTTTCTCCAAGCCTCTCTCTCCTTTCCCCTTCTCCACGCCTTCCCTGTCAACATCCCATATGTGTCTGCTCTATATAAAACCCTGTGCCTTCAAAACCTCGTCAACACCCAACACGTACAAAGTCCAATCTCCATTCACAAACTGATCAAACCAAAAACCCAACACAGTAGAAAAAAGCCACTTCAGTCTCTTTTCTAGCAAGCACAAATGGCTTCTTCAGTTTCGATCCTTCTCAGAAGGGCCTCAGCCCCAACCCTCTTCTCCAAGCTCTCCAGCCCTATTCGCTCTGCTTCAGTTTCTCCCCTTGTCTCTCGCTCCTTCAACTCCAACGCCCAGGTCACAAGCTACGATCAAGATGATCGTAGTGTCCCTGTTGATCGCAGCACCACCGACAGGTCTCCCTCTCGCCGTCGTGACTTTGGCCCCACCTTCTTCTCAGGTACTGGTCATCTGGGCTCGTTTCATATCTTTTTTTGGCATAATATTGAGGGTTATCTCAATTGGGGTTTTTTTCTCCTGGTCAGATGTTTCGAAGTCCCAACTGGGTTTTTCGTTTTAGTCAAATATCTCAATTGGGTTTTTGTGTTTTTGGGAATTGCAGATGTGTTTGATCCATTTTCACCAACAAGGAGTCTGAGCCAGGTTCTGAACATGATGGACCAGTTCATGGAGAACCCATTTCTTGCAGGGTCCAGAAGAGGCTGGGACGTGAAGGAAAACGGGGAAGCTCTGTTTCTGCGGATGGACATGCCAGGCTTAGACAAAGAGGATGTGAAGATCTCGGTGGAGCAGAACACGCTGGTTGTGAAAGGAGAAGATAAAGACTCGGAGGATGAAGAAGGTGGAGGCAGGAGGTTCTCTAGCAGATTGGATCTGCCTCCCAATCTTTACAAGCTCGATTCGATTAGGGCTGAGATGAAGAACGGGGTTCTGAAGCTGGCGATTCCTAAGGTGAAAGAGGACGAGAGGAAGGACGTCTTTGAGGTTAAGGTCGAGTGAGAGTGTCTGAGACAGACTGAACTGTTCTGTTTTCGTTTTGGAGTGTGTACATTTTCTTTCGGTGATGTAGTTTTGTTTAGACCCAGTTCAACATGAATAAAATAGATGTCATGGTTCATGCTCAATCTCACTAAATAAGTCTAATCAGTCCAATTCTTAGCAGAAAAAGATATTACTTTAAAATCATTTCTCATCTTACTCGTACGGGCTTTGTGTATACAAGTGTGTGTTGGTTTTTCTTAACCACATTCTTGGGGGCATGGGTCTATTCTCTTTTTCATCTTACTCATTTTAACCTAGAAAAATGAGATTGCAGATACTGCAATTACCCCAACTAGCACTTATATACGAAGTGAAATAGACAACAGATTAGCGACTTGCAGGGTATCAATCCACTATATGTAATATCATTGTAACACCATAGAAACAACCATAACATCCTTTGATGCATCACGAATCCAAAACGTTAAACACCAAAACTATACAGACTACAAATACAACTTCAATCAGATAATTCAAAGTTCTGGTTAATTAAGAACACTTCCGTAAACTCACCTCCTAGAAAACCTTCTATCCTTCAAAGCAGCTCCATCTTTTCGGGTCTTGTTCAGAATCAGTGCGCGTTCCCTTTCTTTCTCTCGCTTCTCCCTTTCTAATCGTTCTTCCCGCAATTCTTCCAACGTCTTCTTCCCACTCTTGTTCTTCATCTCCCCCTTAGCCCCTCTGGACGATTCATCACCGTCACCACTGTCATCATTCGCATCTGCACTCAGCCTTTCAAGGTACCATGGCAGCTTAACTCCTTTACCAGCAACTCCATAACCCAACCTATACTTCTCATCTTCTGCAGTCACAACCCTGGGCTTCTCCTCCTTCTTCATCTTCTTATTCTTCTTAAACCCATCTTTACCATCACCTCCCTCATTCTCTAATCCTCTAATAGGGTCAAAAATCTTAATCCCTTCAAACAGATTAATATGACCCGGCTTTGATTCCACTGCAGCAGGCTTCTCCCCTTGGCTCACCGGAGCCAAGCCACGGGCAGTCCGAAGCTGCTCAAGACGGAACTCAGCATCCCGCTTTCGCGACTGTTCACGCTTGAGCTGCTCTTCTTTGGCGGCAGCTTCTTCGTCCTGTCGCACCTTCTCTCTATTATCAAAGTTGTACACATTCCACCGCTTCTGAGGCAGTATATTCAGACCACCATGACCACCCATGACTACTTCTAATTCCAAATTACAATTTCACCTGCATATAATACGTAAAAACGATCAATTGGGATTTCGCCAGGAACGAACAAAACTAGGGTTTCAAACTCAGAAAGAGATACAACGGAATGAAATCTAGGGTTTCCGATGCTATATAATTGGCTGCATAAAATTGGGGTCTTTCAAATCAAAAATATGCTACGCGGAAGAAATACAATTTCAAGTTAAATTGAAAATAGCATGAATTCGCATGCGGAGTTCGAAAATTCAAATTAAATTGAATTTTTGCACAGATATATGTTAGGGTTTTGGCAACCAAAAAAATTGGTGAAATTCAGAAGAGCTGCAAATAGCTTACTAGAATGGAAAAAGAGTTTCTCGTATCGATGCAATATGAATATGAGAAGCAAACATAAATCGTAAGAAACAAGCAAATCAAAACCAAAAACGAAGACGAGAAAAGAACTTACAGCTTCAACTTCAAAGCAAGGACCAAAGCGATAGCGCCAAGCTTCTCAACCGCCAAAGAAGGGAACCTCTGTCGTTTAATCACATTCGTTGGGTTTACCTCTTCTTTTTGGGAAACTCTATTGGAACCTAATTTTTTGCTCTTTGGACCCAACAACTATAAAGGTTTTACAAAATTTCCTATTGTACCCTGATCATCAAATTAAAATTTACCCCTTTTCTTTCTTTTGTTGCCATTGTTTTGTAAATTTTCTTTGTTCCGTGATAATTTTTAGATATTTTTAAATAAAAAAATTTGGGCTAAAATTATAAAAGTTCGTTTTCGCTATGAAAATTCTAATATTTCCAGTTGAGTTATTAATGAATAATTACATGCTATTTAACTATTAAGAATAAATAATAGAAAAAGAGATTAGTATTTTAAAATTCCATAAATTCTTTAATTTTTTATAATTTACATTGACGATCTTGCCCCCAACCTTATAATTGTACAATATAAATTAACGTCTATACTATTGTTGAGATGTATAACCTTTACATTTGTACGTTTTCATCAAATTACATTACCCAAAAAAAAAGAATAAGTTCAAGAATAAACAGTGTACAACGTGCATGCTTCTGTTCCGACTCGGTTTTGTCGTCCTTTCGGTCATGTTTGCTGTCTCATAGATGTACTGACTGCACCGTTCTAATTTACCGAAAACCCATTACGATGTTAACTTTCTCTATACAGCAGCCCTTCCTGCTATGCACCTCCAATTTAATTTTTACAGGAATTACTAGGAGTATACAAAGAGGCACCACTATGAGTCTATGATCAACCAAAGTATGGTCTTTCTCGTGACCCCTTTAGAAAATGAAGTCACTGAGCTGAACACGCTTGTCTTTCTGGGAACTCTTACTGATGATATATGCACTTTCTTCCACATTAGCATTCATACAGTTCATCCTATGCCTGTAGCATTAACAAGTCACCAAAAAGATCAATAACCCGATGTCTAAGGCATATGGTAAAGGCCAGAAGGTAACAGTACAGATATGCTTACCAAGCAAAGTGATCTTCGCAGCAAATAGAACCCGATATGATTGAAAGCCCTGTGCCTTTCCTGCAACATACGTGCATATTTAATTTATTGTACACTAATGGATCACTTTATTTATAGGACAATGAAAAGAAATATACGCATCACAATCTCTTAGGATCATTTTGGATCGTTTTGTTGATCATTTTATGTTTGTATATCTATTCCATCTTCTCACTCAAGACTCATCTTTTTATTTTGTTTTGTTTTGTTTACAGAAATTCAATCACTAGATTTCAGTGGGTAAGATGTCAATTCAAAGATCATATGAGGTATGACCCCCACAGACATACCACTTAAGAATTAACAGACTAAACTAAACCTAAGTTCCAACAAATTAAAAGGTACAGCAGTCCCCAATCCTTCTGAGTGAAGGCCAAACTAAAGGTAGCAAAATCTATAATCAGAAAAATAAGTGGAGAAATAAGAATTAATTTCTAGCATACTAATTCCATACCAAGTTGCAGTATACATGTCATAGAACTTATCAAACGCTTTATCGAAACAGTAATGGCATGTCAAAAGATCCTTGATGTCAGTCACTTTGCATGTTGATTTACAGCATTTCACCTACACCAATCAATTATAAATGATTAAGCATAATACAAAAGAGCCACTTAATGATTGGAGTCATAGGTCCCAATATATTATGATTTTACATTATGGTTGCAATCTTGAGTCACATAGCAGCTTTATTTTATTTACATGGAAGCAAAATTCAATACATGAGAGAGACCAGATGCCATCGTCAAAGGTTTTAAGGGGAAGATTTTAAAGAAGCAGAAGGAAGAGCTTTACTAGAATTTCTAGATCCTAAAATAACCAGTATGTTAACTTTTGTCTCCTAAGCTGAGTCAAAGAAGTTTATGTTTATTCATGTTCTATGTCAGTACTAGTGTAAAATAATACAACAAGATGCTACACAAATTGGACCCTGTCAACTATACCCAGATCATTGCTGGTACAGCATCTTTTTCTTCTCTAAAAAACTCTTAGGTAACAGTGAACCAAAGTTAGTACCCACCAGACGAGAGAGCTTATGAGAATAATATTGTCGATGAGATGGATTTGCCTGTATATGCTCATTCAAATGACCTGCACTGGAAATTAGGATTATCAGTCTACCAATGCTCTGGTGCCAGAGCAAGGAATTTAAACATGAACTAAGATGTTCAGAGAAAAATATCTAGATTAATCTGCACGCCAGGGATCAACAATTTCCAAGCCCTTTTGACTCCCTTTTTGACTAGTTGATGAGATGCTCTTTTTTCCAAGCATGATAACTGAACTTCTAACTTCAGGATTTAAGCCTCATCATTATGTTCAAGTGTTCAATAAAAGAAACAAACAAAGATAACGGAAAAGAAACCCATGAATGGCAGCGTAGCAACAACAGAATCTAATGAATCAAGTCAGAGCAGCATAAAAATATAATAAGTGGTCGAAGTATTTTCTGAGGAAGAGCATTTCAACTTCAAAACTGTTTTGAAATGCAAAGCAAAGCAAGCAAAATAATCCGATGGACATAATCATGAAAATAAGTTACAAATTCTGCCTTAAAAGTTTCAAAAGAAAAACAAAATTCAAATACTATGTATGCTCATCAATGCAATTTCCCTTGAGAAAAGGTTTATCTACTAATATACTGACACACCATACACATTGCAAAATTAATCAGTCCAGTAAACAGAAAAGTGAGATAAAAATTGCATAAGGGAAACAAAAAAATTTGCTAGATGTCAAGAAATGCACAAATGTTCAACAGTACAACCTTATGTTATGCCATAAGTACACTTAATCAATCCACAAAGTAGAACTATTCTGCTTACTTGTCACAGAGCGGAATGCTACAATGAAGGCATGTGGCTAAATTTAGTGAGCTATAGCATTCATTGCACTTTGCAGCTGACATGTTTTTGCCTATCTGGTGGCATCTGCAAACACAAAAAGGCCACAAAAGGGATCCTGAGTCCATTTTGAATATGTGATCAATAGAACAAATAAATAAATTATGTTCTCCAGCCAAGTATAAGCTTATGTGAAGAGATAATCTAAAAAACACACCACAGGTAGCTTAATTAAATGAACTATAATGCAATAGTGGGCAGCAGAACAAATTCAATACAACTGGATAACATTCTGACTTTAAGTAAACAATCCACTACCCATTTTGCTTAATGAGAGCCGAAAATCTATTCATTTCAGGAAATCTTGAACTGGTGGAGATATCCAATGTCAAAAAGCATTTGCCTAACCATCTTAACAATCCATTTAGACTATATAATATATATTCCTACAAATATTCTTTTTCAATGTTAGATGAAAATGAAGTTGCTGATGAGATATGATCATATAACTGCTTGCAGGTGAGATAATATGACTCCTTAGCTCAATACAGGATAGAAACATCCACTAAATATACCACAATGGATAACATGAGCTACGAGTCAGTACTTTTACTTTCTATGGCAATGAGCACTTGAAATTTTCTCCTGCATAACAGCTTTCAGTAGACTCAACAACACAAGGTCAGGCTAAATGCAATAAACAAGAGGAAGGAGGATCCCTAAACTTTAAAAATTCATTTGTATATTTTGGCAATATAATAATATCGGTGCAAGGCATCATTACCTACATAAGACAAGTCAAAATTCCAAAGCACAAAAACAAAAACAAAAAGGTAAATTAGGAAAAATAAATTCCAAACCTTCTGTACAATGCAAGAAGGTCAGCAGGTATTGAATTGGGTTTGCCTTGGCCCAACGTCACCTGGACGAAACATAGACTTTAATGAGTTATACCATCTATTTTCCCCTTTTTCTCCATTCATTACAAAGGCCAATCATGGAAGCAGTAAGGTGCGTGTTTACTATAAATATAACCAAAAGAATTAATAGAGAACCTGGTTACTTGTCATCACCAAACAATCTTCAGCAAGGTGTCCAGGCCTTCTACATTTCCAACTACACATACAAATTCACAATCACAGGTGAATAAAGAGCTAAAATGATCAGAACATGTATTTTATACAAGTGAAATGCAAACAAATAAAATTGCAACGAAAAATACAACAGTGGCCTCTCTCTGGTGCATGGACTCTATTTTACTGCCATTTTTTACACTTGAGAAACTTAGGCGACAAACAAACAAGATGTCTAAGGAAATAAATACCATTCATAAGTAGAAAGACTAGAAATCTTCTTGGACCAGCGATGCCGCTCATAATCCCAAGTGTCCTCACCAAAATCATGCATTGGTAAGGTAAATTTGGATCCATATGAGGAGACATCTTGTCTTTGATTGCTCGAGGGCTCCTGAGAAAATAATTTATCGGAGGACTTCAGACAAATGGAAGCAATAAATAAAACACTACAACAAACTTGTCTGCTAAGTACCTTCACAACTTTAAGAGCTTCCAATAGATCAGCTTTGCACTCCATGCTGCAGATGTCGTCATTGGTCTATTAAAACAGACAAACACCAGTTAGAGTCTAGAGATTACTACCATGCAGTGCAGGGGTGCAAAGGGACTCCATGGGTAGAAGTTTATAGATTCGTAAATGCTCACATAATATCATAACCCACCTTGTCGCATATATATTCTCCATATTTACCACATATGACACAAACAGGTTCTCCTGGATGAGGGAAACGCTGTTCACTTCTGCTCTTTACTCGATCAGATTCATTTATGTGACCTGAAAGAAGCATGCCAAGAGAAAGTAGCGTTAACAAGGACAAATTAATGAATTTCTTGGCAATTAGCCACCTCAAGTTACAAATAAACAAATTTATTAGGAAAAACTATCGATGAATCCATATCTCTATTTGAGCTGATTCACCCAACCCAATCAGATTATCGCACTCTATAGTAAGGGAAATTATCAGCAAAATTGAGTATCTTTACATATTTCTTTATACAAGAATAACTAACCAGAACTTGGAGAATCCTGCTTCAACTCACATTCCGAAGTACTGTCGTCACCTATATTTTTCACATTACCATGTTTATCAATTGGCTGAAAACTATCAAAATTGTGGCACTTGACTAGCTCCTACTAGTGACAAACAACCATCGTTGACTAATATCAGAGAATGAAGAGGAAATAGAAAAAGAGAAAGCTTACTGTCATATTGTACCAACTTTAGGCACGAAGTTCCCGGCTTTCCCTGCCAAAACAAGAAACCAAACCTCACAATGTGACCTTAATCAATCACAAATTTACAATGCAAACAAATTAACAGCAGCAATTTCAATTACCAAAACATCAGCAGTCAATTCCTCATACGCCTGCGATGCACTAACTTCTTTTCTGCTCATGCATTTCACAAACTAATATAATAAGCAATTTATTTATTTATTTATTTTTAAAATTAAAATTATTTTTTTTTTAAAAAAAGCAACAACTGCAATTCATTAACTATGGAATTTGATAATTGAAACTAAAAATCAGCTCTTGCCTTCTTTTATCTATGTAATCCTGGTGAGACATAGGCCCATCGTTCCCTTCGATTTCACGGTTCTGAGTCTGACGACGAGGCGGCGGTGGCAGTTCCGGATTACGCTGGCGTTTACGACATGCCGTTTTGCCATCAGCAGCTGGTTGCCGTTCTTCAATCGGAGAAGCATTTCCAGTGGCGATGTTGTAAGCTGAAAACAGAGGAAATTGAGTTAATTCATATTAGAGGCTTGTTGGGTCGATGCGGAGAAAAAGAAAGGACAAGAGAATGTTAGCTACCTTTCAGGTTCTGAAGAACGGAGGAGAGACTGAGGTCCTTCTTGTAAGCAATGGAAGGGTTCTTGTAGAAATTTGTCCTCGTCCCCATTTTGTAGCTCTCTGCATATCGAAGAGGTATAGTTTGATGAAGACGAGGAAGAAGGAGAAGAAATGGGTGTTGGGTCAGAAAGCTATGGGCCCTGCAGATGGGCTCACCAGGCCAGCTGACATGGAAGTAGATTTCAACATGAAGTTGTCAAGCCCATACTTAACGCAATGCTCTAGTCGACAACAAAAAGAGAGTTTTCTTGTATTCATAATTCGCAATTGCAACATAATTAGCATTTTACTAGGGTTGGCAGCTATAATAAAAAGTTATACAAAGAACATAGTTTATCATTTTTTGTTGTTTTAACAGGTAAAGTAGGGACGTTTTGAAAAAATTATTAATTCTGTAATTTGTGTTCGTATTTGAATTTTCGCACCCTGTTCAACGAGTTGTTTCGTGTCAATCTGTTAACTTAACGCATCATATTAAATTTAAACCGAAAATGGAAAAATAAACTACCTTCTAGATCAATCAATAAGAGTGTAGGTGATAGAAAGTGAAGTTTGCGAATTAGCCCCATGTTCAAAATCAATTGTGTATAATGTAATAAGGACATAATTAATTTTTCTCACACCTTCTCTTGTATAGTGTAATAAAGCATAGAAAATAATATAAATATGTTAAGAAACTTGTTGAAACATATTTCTATGCTTTTTGTACTTGATGAAATGTGATGAAAACATAAGAATCAAAGTTAGACAACACATATACTAGACTGCCTTAGAATACAACATTACCCAATAACTATACCCAAGCTTGAATTATACATAGTTTCCAATATTTTATACAAGTGTCTCCTACCCATTAGGGCTACTCATAGAGTGCTGGATCCGATAACCTTGGAGTGGGGATGGCAACCAAAGGCACCTCCTTCTTCATAGCAAGCCCAAACTTCTCTGAAAGATCCAGCTCTTCCCCTTGTGGCAATCTCCAGTCAAAAGAATGCAAAAGCGTAGCAAGCAAATGCATCACCATCCTCTCAGCCATAGCGATCCCGACACATATTCTTTTCCCAGACCCAAACGGCAAATAGGTGAAGTCCCGTCCACTGTAATCCCATTTACTATCCAAGAACCTGTTTGGATCAAACTCCAATGGGTTCTCCCAGTTACAAGGTTCTCTGTGTATGGCCCAGACGTTGACGAAAACCCGAGACCATTTCGGGATGGTGTAGCCTCCGACGGTGCAGGTTTCGGTTGGGGAGTGAGGGATTAAGAGTGGCACGACTGGATGCAAGCGAAGGGTTTCTTTCATGACGGCTTGTAAGTAGGGTAGTTTATGAATGTGGGATTCTTCTACAATGTTGTGCTTGCCAACTACCGCGTCTAGTTCTTGCTGGGCTTTTTGCATCACCTCTGGTTTGTTCATGACTTCGGCCATGGCAAACTCTACTGTGTTGGAGGATGTGTCGGTTCCAGCCGTCACCATATCCTGTCCACAATATTGAACACCAAGGTCATATGTTAATGCACTATTTCATTCACACTATCCTTACAATTTTAAAAATAAGACATTTTGCAAACGTAGGTTAGGCCAGTTAATCAGTGCAATGAGTTTACTCCGTTGCACTCAAGTTCGAATTCACTTTTCATATATTAGATTAGATTAATTTAGAGTAATTTAAATTGTCGCTTGTATTTTAAAAAAAACATTTTAAAATTTAAATTTTATAAATAAGTAATCAAATATCATATTATCTAGTTAATGACGCATCAAAACTTGCCCTTCATATCCTCTCTGATTACCCCAATTAACCTTTTTTTTTTTTTTTTTTTTTGGCAAAGTTAAGAATGGGGAGAGGGCTTTTCTCACACATACTGTCAATGTATCATGGAAGTTCAAACCAGAAAGTACTAATATGCAAATCAATGCTATTTTTCATTGAGCCAGACTCCGTCGACATTGTCCCAATTAACTTAGTAACATAATATTTGGTTACTTCAATTTAAAGGGGATTTTTCATTTGGTTAACTATGTTGTTTTTTTAATTGAGCTACTTGAGTTGTAAGGATGATGAGTTTCAAAGTATTACTCCATTAATTAATATTCAGATTGAACCCCAAGCTCTTAAGCTTCAAAGAACTTCATCATGCATAGACAAACTTCTTCAGAGCTAAGGATAGACAATGGGTAGCTATAGGTACCCACACTAGGCCTCGTTAATGGGTCGGTCCAGACTTTAAAGATGAGAGGGAAAATAACGGGTTGAGTCGAATTGGGCTTATTTAGAAAATTCAAAACCCAAATTTGGCCCATGAGTTGGGCTTGAGAAAGCCCATTGAGCTGGGATGTGCCGTGTCAAAATGGGGGCTACTTTATTTTGTCTTCTTTTTTTATTGGATTTTTTTTTTGGTCAAATTTTTTTTCTTCTATGTTTCCCTTTTTTTTCGTAGTTCTCTTTTTACATTTGTCCATATGTTTATGTCTCCATTTTTTTTCTTTGTTCATAACTTCATAGTTCTTTTTTTTTTTTCCATAAATATGAAGATATAGTTATACAACCACAATATTAACAAAATTATATTTTATGCCCTACTTCATTTTTTTAGTTCTTACAATGATAATAGATAATGATTCCATCTTTCATTTCATTTGAATTTTTTTATATTTATTTATATGTATGTGGGCCCGCAAGCTGGGCTTTTATGGGCAGACAGGGTCAGACTTTCTTAGGCTCAAACGAGCTAGGCTTTAGACACTCAAGCTCAAACCCAATCTACTCAACAATGGGTCGGACCGGCCCATGGCCCATAACAAGTTGAGTTAAGCTTTTTCTCAATGGGCCAAACGAGCCCCCATCGACCCATGAGCTAACAAGCCTAATAATGACCCCTAACCCTAAGGATGGCAAAAATCCCTACGAGGGCAGGTCCCTGACCCTAACGGGGAGAAATTTCGGGGCCAAACGGTTATCGAGTACGTGAATCCCCGACGAGTATGGAGAGGGGATGGTATTGGCGTCCCCATCCTTGAACCTGACCCGAAAATATATATGTTTATATTTAAATAAATAAATATATAATTATAATATTTATGTTTAACCCTAAGTTAACCTCCCTCTCATAATTCTTCCTAATCTTCTCTGAAATTTCATATTGATGTGATTTTGAATAGTTGAGTTGAACTTTATAGTTAATTTGGATTTGTTGAATGATAATTTAATATGAAACTTAATGTTAAAATGTATGATAAATATTTATGCAAAAAAAATTGGGGATTCGAGGCGAGTATGGGGGATAGTCCTCCCACGAGAACGAAGATGGGGACGAGAATTCCCCGAAAACTATTAAACGACGACGGGGGCAGGGATGGAAAGCAGGGACCTGAATGGTATTATCATACCCAACCAATTACCATCCCTACCTAACCCACACCATCCCCAACCATCACACCCCTAACTTATAATGGATTCCCATATCACATTATCTAAAATACAACCCAAAGACTAATATATTTTTTCTTTATATATACTAGCCTCTCCGCACGAGCTTCCGCACTTGAGAGAGGCCTCTTTTTTTTTAAAAAAATAATTAATTTATTTTAGAATTAAAAAAGATAATAAATAGTTGTGTTCCATAAAAATTGGATTCATTATCTGATTTTTCTTTTAATTTTAATTTTAATTTTTTTAATATGAAAAAGTGTGAATTTACCATATTATCCTCATTTAATTAATAATTTTAATTCTTAATGTTTGCATTAACCGATGGCTTTTGCTGATATTTTGAATGTTTCACCATTCTCTGCCTTTTGCTTTTTATATATATAGATGATGATCTAAATTACTTTAAATTAACTTAATTTTAAGGGAAAAATATATTTAAGCGCAACATAACGGGCACAATATGCTGATCGACTTACTTAACACAATATATACCGACACTCCATATTTGATAAATACAAAAAAATTAAAAATAACCTAAAATATGCAAATATATAGAAATGAATTGTCAAAAATTGCCTACCTACCACATACAATAAATTTAAAAAAATTAGAAAAGAGAAGAACATACCACAAGCAGGGCTTTGACGTGGTTCATGGTGAGAGGCGTCTTAGAATCCACCTCATCTTTCAAACTCAACAAAAAAGCCAAAATATCCTTGCTCTCTTTGCTGCCATCCTTCTCAATCCTCAGCCGTCGATCAATCATCTCCTCATATATCCCATCCAACCTCCGGACCAGCCTCTTCACCTGCTTCCTTATCCTTTGCAAATCGAACCAGGCCAAACCCGGATAAAAGTCCGAAACGTTCAGCCCCTCGCCATGTCTAAGGCCACTGCTAGCAGCCCCCGAGGGCTAGGGCGGGGGGGCGGGCAAGAGCCCAAATGCAAGTTCCAGCAACAAAGGTTGGCCCGGGCAAGGTGGGGTCCACGAGCCTGGGATGGCCCGAAGGCATGAGGAGCTCGAGCTACAGCCCGAAGGCTCGCAGACGTCAGCAGGCCCAAATCAATTTTTTTTTCTTTCCACTGCCACGTGGCGCAACCTGGTCCTTCCGATTTTCGTTTTTCATCCAATCCAACGGCCTGGAATTTTTCAAAGCAAAAAATTATGAAAAAAATAGTAAAATTTTTTATAAAAATCCCAAAAAATACTGAATTTTTTTCTATAAATACTAATCCATACTCTTCACTTTTAACAACAAATTCACTTTCTACTCAATAATTTTTTCACTTTCAACTCTAAATTTTTTTCACTTTCAAGTTTAACTTTTCTCTATCAAAGAAACTATTAAATAAACTTCCTTTTTATTCAAAACATTCCATACATAAAAAAACTAACCACAACCAAAGCATTAAATATATAGAAACAAACAAACCACAACCAAAGCATAAAAAAACCAAACAGAACTAAACATAAACACATAAACATTAAAATCTTAAAAATGTTCTTCACTTCACTTCATTCACCGTCATTATCATAAAATCTCATCCGAAAATATTGTCAAAATTAATTGTTTAGGTAAACAAATTTGTGAAAAGAAAAAAAAAATTGAATAGTACCCCTCACCATGGCAACTGTTGGAAGTGCAACTTACTTT